CTCTGAGGAGCAGCAGAAGCTCCCAGGGGTTTGTTTTGTGTCAGGGTGAAAATGTTGTCTGGCAGGTCTGATATTCCCTGGAATGTCCATCCCTTTCCTTCCATTCTGCTTTGTTTGTAGGCATTTGGCCAGTCCTTCCTGCAACCTGACATCCACCTGTTCAAGCAGAATCTCTTCTACTTGGAGACCCTGAACACCAAGCAGAAGCTGTACCACAAGGTGGGTCCTGCTTGACTCTGTGTGGTAGGTGACTGCTCTTCTGAGGCTTGTTTGAAACTCCTCAGAGACTGAAGGTCAGGATTTGGGGGCTTTTATGCCACAGCTTTTGGTTGCTGTGGTCCTGGTGGAGGGTCCCTGGTCAGAGTGATGTTGCCACCTCCCTGGCACTGCTGCAGACCTCCAGGCAGCCAACCAGGTCCCCTGGCTTTCAGGAGCACTTTGCAGGGCTAAAACTGGCTGCAGTTGGAATGGGACTTGATGCTGTTTGATTAAAACCTGGGTCCAGGTGCATGAGAAAGTGTGGCCAAATTCATCCTTCACTTGAGAGCTGCTGGTAATGCAGTTTGTTGTGGCCACTTGTAGATCAGAAAATCTTCTCTGTGCTCACCAAAGCTTGTGGACCTCAGGAGCTGCCTGCTGGTGGACAAGAAGGAATGGCCTCAAGTGGCACCAGGGGAGGTTTAGATTGGATGTTGGCAAGAATTTCTCCACTGAAAGGGTTGTCAGGCTGCCCAGGGCAGTGGTGGAGTCACCATCCCTGGAGGGATTTAAGATTCACATAGACATGAGGGATGTGTTTTAGTTAAGGACTTGTCAGTGTTGGTTGCTGGTTGTGATCTTGAAGGTGTTCTCCAACCAAGGTGACTCTGTGTTGTGGCCCTGGGCAGCCTGGATGAGTTGGTCCTTCTGAAGCTCTGCTGGCTGCTCTGGTCCTTCTGGTCCTCTCTGGTGGGAAACCTCCCTAACTGTGTTCTTCTCCCACTGCAGAAGATCTTCAGAACAACCATGCTGTTCCAGTTTGTGAACGTGCTGCTCCAAGTGCTTGTCCACAAGTCACACGACCTGTTGCAGGAGGAGATTGGCATTGCCACCTACAATATGGCCTCAGTGGACTTTGATGGCTTCTACTCAGCCTTCCTCCCCGAGTTCCTGGCCAGCTGTGATGGTGTGGACTCCAACCAGAAGAACGTGCTGGGAAGGAATTTCAAAATGGACAGGGTAAGAAGGGGAAATGCTGCAGCAGAGGGGCCAGTCCTGCCAGGGCTGCTCAGGGGTCTTCTTCTAGAACCTGCCCAGGGCTGTGTTTTGAGGCAAATACTTCTGGATTTTTCAACATCTCCATACTCAGCCATGCCTGTCCAAGGAATTCCTTCTGCTGCCATCTCTTCTCTCAGCCTGTTGCAGGCTGTGGGAGTTGAGGATCCTTGTTTCCTGGAGGAAGTTTTTGTAGGATTAAACTGACATTTTCTAAAGTGGGACACTCAGATCCTTGCCAAAATCTCCAGCTGCTGGCCAGAAGCTTGAGGCCAGAGTAGCTGAAGTGGCTCCACGGTGCTTCCAAACTCCTCATATGAGTGTGGAGCAAGTGGGGGGGTCAGGGACCTCCCTGTGCCACATCATGGCAGTGCAGCAGGGCTTGGATTCCATCTGCTGAAGCTTCCATGTCTGCTGAGTGCTTCCTTTCCTGGGGGAGGTGGAAGGGGTTTGAAACCAAGGGTGGGAAAGGAGCCTTGGGTGGATCACTGGACTGTTGTGGGGAGGTGGCAGCTCCCTCCTGTGCTCCAGCCTGTGCCCATTGCCCCTTGTCCTGTCACTGGGCACCCTGGGAAGAGTCTGGTCCCCCCTCCTGCCACCTCCTGGAGATATTGACCAGCACTGATCAGATCCCCCCTCAGCCTCCTCCTCTCCAGCTGAGCAGCCCCAGCTCTCCCAGCCTTTCCTCACAGGCAGATGCTCCAGCCCCTCAGCATCTCAGTGGCTCTGGGCTGGACTCTCCAGCCTTTCCTTTTCCTTTCTGACCTGGGGGGCCCAGAACTGGGCCCAGCTCTCCAGGTGTCCCTCTGTTTGCAGTCCAACCTGCTGTTTGATCTTTTCCAGGACCTGCCCTCGTTTACCCAGAACGTGCACAGACTGGTGAACGACCTCCGTTACTACAGACTCTGCAATGACAGTTTGCCCCCTGGAACTGTGAAACTATAGTTACTGCACTGGACTCCTGGTTTGATCACTGTAGGGAACGGATCCATGTCTCCTTTTGCCACCACCTTCTTCTCCTCCCTGGTTTTGTCAGTCCTGCAGGACACGCCGTGTCTTGCCCGTGGGCGCATCTTGGATTCACACGCCACGCTTCTCTTTTTCCCACCCCCCCTCCCAACCCAAAAGGCCTCCAGCTGGAGCCAGCACTGTCTGCAGGATGTGTCTTAATGCCCAGGGCCATCTCAGCTGGATGGAAAGTCCTCTCACTGGGGTTTGGTTCTGCTCATGGAGCCCTTGGTTGCATCCGGAGATCTCGGTGGAGTCGTCTTGAGAGACAACCTGTTGTCTTGAGAGAACTTGCACGTGTCCAACGTCAGGCAGAAGAGCCAAAGACCACTTCAGACATTCATACCTTCGTGTCATTCCACCTTCCTGCCCCTGCCCAGCTCTCAGAGGAGGAGTCTCGTGATGTTGGGACTGTTTTGGCACTTCTGTCACTCCCTTTTTGGTTTTAAATTGCCTTGAAAACCTCCCCTGTGTGGGTGGGGATTAAGAGACTTTTTTTGGGGGTTGTTTTTGTTTTATGTTGTTTTTTTTAAAAAACCATTTTCTCATCATTCCATTGTGATACTAAAGATGCTTCATGGAAATAAAGTGCTTACTTTGTTGTTTTAAAGAACTTGTAACTAGTTTCAGTTTCATTGCAGGCCTGGCTGCCACCAAGGCTCTTGATGAAAATGGGTTCCCTTGATGCAGACAGAGATCTCCAACCTTCCTGCTCTGGGTGCAGAAATGTCCTGTCTTGGCTCCCACCAAAGCCAACAGCTCCCACAAGGTCTTCTCCTGACCATCAGTGTTGGCTTCTGTGTCCCCATCTGTGCATTTCCCACCTGTGTTCCCTGTCATCTCTCTGTTCCCTCCAGCAGTGTTGTCCACGTTGATCAAGATCTTCCTGCAGGAAGACAAATCTCTTGGCATTCAGGGTGTTGCTTCATAGGAAACCTGAGCTGAGGGCCAGAATAACCTGATGGTGACATCTGGGCATGAGGTTAAAATCCCTGGTCAGGCAGGACCAGGTTTTGTGGGACTTGGGAGTCTCTGATCACAGATTCCACCCCCCAAAGTCTCCAGTCAGGTAACTAGTGTAGAGCATTAAGTCACTTTTAATTCTCCGTGGTCACCAGGCCTGTGTGGTGGGAACAGAACTGGAGGAGATGTTCTCCCATCAGTGTTTGTAGACATGGACTTGAGGGAGATGGTTGGGGAGGCATCAAGGGTGAGCTGGAGGGCAGGAGCACTTGCTCCATGGTTCCTTTAGTTCCAGTTTGGTGAAAAACACCCTGTGGTGCAAGTGTTTGCTGTTTGGAGATAACATCTGCTGTTTGGATAACCTGTGTGCTGACAGGGCCCTGCATCCAGGCTGAACTGGGACCAGTTTGGGCTTCATACCCTGCAACGAGCTGCTGGAGTTGAACGTTGCAGGTGAAGCAGAGTCCAGCCTGCCAAGGAGATCCCTCACCAGGCCCAGTCCTTGCCACCAAGGATGGTGAAGCCATGGGTGTGTCAGGACCAGTATGAAGCTGGGGGATGATCTGCCACCAGCCTGCAGAGCTCCCACCTCCCCAGAGATCTCCCTGCCAGCCAGAACCTGCACCAGGAGCTGGGGGTTCACTGCAGGCAGCTCTTGGTGGCACTTCAAGCTTCAAGTCCTTGTTTTTCCTGCTGGTAATTGGGTGGTACAGGCTCCAAACCTGTCCACAGAGCCCATCCCTCCTCCTGAGCTGCCACCCTGGTCTCCCACTGCTCCTGGGGTGCTCCCCAGGCACCCTGGTGTGGTGGGTTCAGCGATGGGTTGAGGAGACTTCACCTGCTGCCCTCCCACCACGGGGCTGCTTCTGGTTCTTGCAAAACCTTGGGTTGACAGAGGGAGAAAGGGCATGTTTTTTTTCCCTTGATCAAGGGCAGCAGTTGGAAGGTGGCCAAAGCCCAGGCTGGGACCTGCCAGCCCTTCTGCTAGAAGCCATTTCTCCTTTGCCAGCTGTCACCTGCAGCTCAGGGCTGGCTGGGTGAGCAGGTAAATACCAACAGGGACCTGGTTTGTGTGTGTGTCTGACTCTGTGGATCTTCCCCAAAGAAACCTCTTCCTCTGAACCATCTCCCTTCCTTGCTGCAGCAGATGCTGGAGAGAAACCTCTGCTTCCCAAGCCCCCTCTTGGGTGGGTGTCACCACCAAGGTGTCTGTTGGGCAAGAGCTGGTGATCAACCTGTTTGCCACCAGGGAAGCCACCTGGGGTGTCTCTGCAGCTGTGCTGAGCACAGCAGGTCTGGGGAGCCCCCATGTACCCCCCAGCCAGGCTCTGTCCCCCCACTTCCTGCTCCTTGGGGAGGCAGGAAGGAAACAAGGAGGCAGGGATCAAGGAGCCAAATGCACCTTGGAGACAGCCTGACATCCAGGACCCCCAGGTCCCTTCCAGCCCCCCCGTTGCACCTCAGGGATGGTCCTTGACCCCTTCAACTTCTTCCAGGTTAAGAAATGGGGCTCGAGGTGACCAAGACTTCCCAGGGACTTAGAGAATGTTTTAAGAGCAAAGTTTGCATCAAGCTGCTCTCCCAAGAGGTGTCTCAGGAGTTTGGGAAGCTCCATGAGGAGGGATTTCTCAGCATGGGGGCTGAGAGCAGGAGAACTGAGCCCCCACACCCCTGGGGGAGCAGGCAGAGCTCCCACATCCCTTGGATTCAGAACTGGAGTGATGGTCTCCTCAGGGCTCTGCTCCCTTGCAGCCCAGCTCAGGCTGGCAGGACCTAACCTGGGGTCTCTCCTGGACCATCAGGCCCAAAGCTGGGTCTAGGTCTGATTTTTGGTAGCTCATGTCCCTGGGTTGCCCACAGGATGGGCACAGGCTCTGCCCCCACCAGGGCAAGGCTTGGGGCTCAGCTCCTGAAAGGAAGAGGTCTCTCCATGCCAGGGGATGATCTGAATCAGTGGGTCCTATGCTGGGAATCTCCATACTGGGAGGATGATCCATACTGGGAGATGCTTCATTCTAGGGCTGCTCCATGTCAGGAGGATGTTCTGTGCTGGGATCATAGAATCACAGGATCTCAGGTTGGAGGGACCTCAAGGCTCATCTGGTCCAGCCTTTCTAGGTAGGAACACAGTTTAGATGAGGTGACCCAGCACCTTGTCAGGCTGAGTCTGTCCAGGGTTGGGAATCCTGGGGAGATTCTTCCAAAGTCTGACTGGTTCTTCTGGTGTCCAGTCAGGATCTCCCCAGGAGAAACTTGCACCCATTACTCCTTGTGCCCCCCTCTAACCAGGGAGTCTCCATCTCCTTGGGAGAAGCACTGGAACAAGTCAGCAAATACAATGAACTGTTTTGCCTTTATTTCCCTACATTTATCAAATTCAGGCCCAGTTTGCCCCAAGTTAAAGAGAATGACCCTCCAGCTGGTTTTTTAAAGTGGATCAAAAAGGAGTTAAGTTGTTCCTGAACCAGTTGTTATTTTGGGGGGGTCCTGTTATCCCTGCCTTTGTCCCAGGGCTGGTGCTGACCTGTGTCCCCCTGCACCAGTCATTAGGTTTCTGCTTACCTGGGTGCTTTGTGGGAGATGGGAGATCACCCAGGAACCTGGGCACCAGAAATCAGAACCTGCTGCTCCTGCCCAAGCTGCCTTGGCACCAGGACCCTCCCTCCTGGGGAGGGTGCCCAGTAACCAGGGCGTTCCATACTGGGAGGGTGCCCAGTAACCAGGGTGTTCCATACCAGGAGGGTGCCCAGTACTGGGGTGTTCCATACCGGGAGGGTGCCCAGTACTGGGGTGTTCCATACTGGGGGGTGCCCAGTACTGGGATGTTCCATACTGGAGAGGGTGCCCAGTAACCACGGTGTTCCATATACTGGGAGGGTGCCCATTACCGGGGTGTTCCATACTGGGAGGGTGCCCAATACTGGGGTGTTCCATACCAGGAGGATGCCCAGTAACCAGGATGTTCCATACTGGGAGGATGCTCCTGCTCTGGCTGCCTCGGTACCAGGATCCTCCATGTTGTGGGGATGCCCAGTACTGGGATGTTCCATGGTGGGAGGATGCCCAGTACCCGGGATGCTCCGTACTGGGA